GTTTGCCAATGAACAGATAAATTATTTAGAGAAAGATTGGGAGAAAGTGCTGTGGTCAGATGAGACCAAAATTGAGCTCTTTGGCATTAACTTGACTCGCTGTGTTTAGAGGAAGAAAAATGCTGACTATGACCCTGAGAACACTATCCCAACAGTCAAGCACGCAGGTGGAAACATTATGCTTTGGGGCTGTTTCCCTGCTGAAGGTACAGGCTGATTTTGTCGCATTGAGGGGCCAATGGACAGGGTAATGTATTTTAAAATCATAGATCAGAACCTTCTTCCCTCAGCCAGAAGATGGGTCCTCCAGCATGAGGGTGACTCAAAACATACCACCAAGGCAACAAAGGAGTGACTTAATAGGAAGCACAATAAGGTCTCCAGACCTTAATCCTATAGAAAATTTATGGAGGGAGCTGAAACTTTGAATTGCCAAGCGACAGCCAAGAAACCGTAAGGATTTAAAGAAGATCTGTAAAGAAGAGTGGACAAAAAAACCCTCCTGAGATGTGTACAAACCTGGTAACCAACTACAAGAAAAATCTTTCCTTGCCAACAAGGGTTTCTCCACCAAATGCTAAGTCATGTTTTGTTTGGGGATCAAATACTTATTTTACTCACTGAACTGCAACTCAATTTATAACATTTGTATCATGTGTGTTTTCTGAATTTTTGGTTGATATTCTGTCTCTATCATTTAAACTACACCTGTGATAAAAATTATAGACCCTTTATTTCTTTGTAAGTAGGCAAACTTACAAAATCTGCAGGAGATCAAATAATTATTTTCCCCACTGTGTGTGAACCGGGGCTTACTAAAACTGGAGCACCCCAAATCTGGTGAAGCTGTGCATGGTAGGCAATTCGCTTCCAACTTCAGCTTGTTCAATTAAGCTATAATAATGAAAATCGCAAGAGACCAGCAAAGCTTGATAAAAGAGGATGGCGAGGGTAGTAATAGAGTGTTAAGAGGGTGAACAGTGCTTGGGATTTTTTTTTTTTTAATACAAGAAGATGGGTCTCCCTATTGAAAAAAATAGCTGGTGATGGACTTTAAAGCCTATGTTTAGTCAAAACATTTTATTAAAAAAATGTGCTGATGGCTGCTGACTGAAGTTTTCTGTCCTCCGATCCTCCCTTAGCCCTGCAACTGTTTCCTTCTGGGGGGTTAATAAAACCAAGGGACCTGTTACAGATTCTCATCAAGTATGCCGACCAGGGGCGGACTGACCATTTGGAAACTCGGGCACTGCCCGAGGGCCCGGGATCAGTAGGGGGCCCCAAGAGATGCCCCTGGAATCTTTTTCATAGGCTTTTTTGAGTTTGGGCAAGGACACAGGGGCCCCATGATCCCCTATTGCCCTGAGTTGTCAGTCCGCCCCTGATGCCGACTATTCCTACCCTTTCTGCCCCCTCCTTCATTCATAAAAGCTGTACTATAGCTTCCATAATTGAAAAATGATCTATGAATGGAGAAAATGAACCTTTCATTCATCTACCCGATCTCCATTCATAGAGCATCTTTCATTCATAATTTGTGTATTGTAAAAAAAATGATGGAAAATAATAACTATTAAGTGTTTATTCATATCCTATTCTTTTTTCTACGAACTGAAATATATTCTTTTTATCTGCTAAATATACCACTAAAAGTATTTTATTATATCTGTTCAATAAATGCAAAAAGTTCCTGTTGATGCCAGAAATCTTGTGAGATGATAATGTTCTGTGCTCAAGGAGGGGTTATGGAGATGGAGTGGGGAAAAGATGAGGAGAAGTTTGTGTTCTTTGGAAGCCATCAGAAATGAAATAGGCAGGACTGACACCATGTACTTAGCAATTTAGAGCTAAAAATGCACTGTGCTGTAATGCCAAAGAGGCAGGTAGGAGCACACTACATTTCTGGTGCTTCAACAAATATTTTTCAGTACTTGCAGCATGTTTAAGGGGATAAAACATGGACATATGTGCTGGTATTGAAAAAATGTTCACAATATCGTTTTTTTTTTTTTGCCTTGACACACACATTAACAAAAATGTTAACAGGAATATTAGTAATTTGGATTTGCAAATGGTTGTAACAGTTAATGTAAAAGAAACACATATCACTAGTTAGGTTAAACAGAGTGAAACCCAGCATGTTATAATGAGATGGATTAAAGGGAAATGAACCATTATGAAGCACAGCAGAGCCTCTAGAACTCATTATGTACAGGTTGCTATCAAATCGCAATGGATAAAAAGCGCAAATGACCATTTTCTTAGCAATACAGTGCAGTACAACACAAGTTTCATGCATTGTGCCATGCTGTGGGATGTTTTCCTCTCAAAATAAATGGCACAGTAATGCACGCCTTATAAAACACATAGAGCTGGTGTATTGCCGTGAGTGGTGGTAACGTGCATCTTTTGCCATGTGAATGGATCCTAAATATAACACTTGCAATAAATCCTAACAATGCTTAAAGTGGCTGTACAGGCTTTGTTTACCATAATGCATTCTATGCGTTAAGGTAAAAAACTTCCAAAAGCTACTCCCCCCCAGCCCCCCTTAAACACTGTGCCTGTTTGCAGCAGCTCTTCTCCCATCTCTCTCTATGTCTATGGACACACACTGCCTGGCTTGGATTCAAGCCCACATGAGTGCCCCCATTGCAAGCAGCTTGCTATGGGGGTATTGAGTAAATGAGCGCTAAAGTTGCTGTAGCCGCTGAAACACCAAAAGGCACCAAACAACCTCAAAAGAAACTAAAAAGCAATGGGTGCAGCGCTAAATATGAAAGAAAATCTTAAATAATGCTTATAAACATATATTAATAAAATACTGATAGTAAAGTGCTCAATTAATACCCCAATCAGTAATGTGACTCAGCGTGTTCAATAATAATCACTGAGACTACACGTAACACACAATAATGCATATAGTAATGAAGTGCAAAGCATATAGGACACACATATAATTTCTGTGTCACTGCGCCATGACTATTCAATGATGAGTGTGAGTATACCGTCCACAATATCCCATTGGGTTAGGTGCATAAACGATCTCAAAGATCCCAGTAATATGGTAAAAGGTGATAGTGTATCCAAATTGGTAAAAGACTGTGCACTCACCAGATGCGCAGACAGTATGCACATGTAAGAGATACCCCTCTTAAGGTTAAATGGGATTCCCTCTGGTATGTGGTCTGGTCTGCTGCTGCTCTCTGCCCCAGTGGCCATCTTGGATCTACAATCTGGTCAGTAGCTGTTTTGTCTTATATTTCTGCTTGCTGGATACAAGAAAATTCACAATATAGGAAACAGTATTGCGCTATTTTGCCTCCTCTTTTGGGGCTCTTTGTGAGCTTCCCACTACCCACAGAGCCACGTATAAGAAGGTTAGAGCCATGCTGGTCAGCTGAATGAGCAGAGAGCAGCAGCAGACCAGACCACATACCAGAGGGAATCCCGGTTAACCTTAAGAGGGGTATCTCTTACATGCGCATACTGTCTGCGCATTTGGTGAGTGCGCAGTCTTTTACCAATTTGGATACACTATCACCTTTTACCATATTACTGGGATCTTGTCGACGGTATACTCACACTCATCGTTGAATAGTCACGGCGCAGTGACGCTGAAATTATATGTGTGGACTATATGCTTTGCACTTCATTACTATATGCACTATGCTGTGTTACGTGTAGTCTCAGTAATTATTATTGAACACGCTGAGTCACATTACTGATTGGGGTATTAATTGAGCACTTTACTAAAAGTATTTTATTTATATATGTTTATATGCATTATTTAAGATATTCTTTCATATTTAGCGCTGCACCCATTGCTTATTTAGCTTGCTATGGGGACACTCGGAGAAAAGGAAGAGCCAAGTTCGCTGGCTGGGAACCCCAAAAGAGGAGGTTTAGGGTTTTTCTGTGCAAATGGTTTTGGACAGAGCAGATAACCACTTTAACTGCAATGCTCATATTCCCTTTCAATACTAGCCAAATATATTTGGTTTAATTAATCTACTAGCTAGACAACTTTTCCTTTTTTCTCATGGGAAATTTCAAAAAGTAGTTTATGGGTATTGCAAAACTGAATTGCCTGCATAGTTGTCACTCAGCTAGAATCACACAATGCTGTCTGTTTATATTTAGGAATGCATTTTTGCCGTGTCATGAAAATTGTACACGTACTGACATTTCGAAGAATAACTCTCTCTGCACTGCTTAGTATGCTTCGCATAACTTTAAAAGACAAAGTATCGGTTTAAAAAAACCAAAACATTTATACTCACTTATGTAGATGAAGCATCGATCCAATGCTGCAGCTGTCCCCCATTGGCTCTAGACCGAGCACTGAGTGATCAAAGATTGCTGATTGTTCAGTTCTTGTGTCGTCTCTGAGCACAGAGAGGTGACTGTCATTCACTCTCTGCTCTTGGCTGTATAGGTGGTGGGAGGCTGGCTCAGGCTCCCGGCGCATTAAGAGGCTGAGCCATTTGTTGGTCAGGCATCTGGATGGATCCCAATATTATGGTAAGGATCTTTGCATAGTCTGGACTGGATCTGTGATGTCAGTTGACAGCAGACTTTATCCCACCATTAGCTGAATCTGGGTCACAGGAGTGCACTCCTGTGACCCACAGGAAAAGTATGGCCAAAAGAGCTTTGGCCATATTTTTCCTTTAACCACCTCCCGCCCGCCATATAAAGAAACGACGGATGGGCGGCGGTTCTCTCGGGAGGATGTCATATGACGTCCTCGCACTCTAACTGTGCATGCGCGCCCCTGGCAGCACGGTGATCAGTGGTGCGCTGTGTCCATAGGACACAGTGGATCACTGATCAGCAGAAAACGCTGATGACATCAGCTCTGTCATGTGATCAGCTGTGTCCAATCACAGCTAGTCTCATGTAAACAAGGAAATGACGGTTATCTGCATTCCTCTCATCACGCTGACAGCCCGTGAGAAGAGGAGAGCCGGTAAGTGGACATGTACAGACAGAGGGGACATGTACACTAATCATCAGGGCACTGATGATTAGTGCCCTGATGATTAGTGTAGCCCCATCAGTGTCACCTGTCAGTGCCCATCAATGCCACCTGTCAGTGCACATCAATGCCACATAGTGCCTATCAGTGCACACCAATGCCACATATCAGTGCCCATCTGAGCTGCCAGTCAGTGCCAACTATCAGTGCCACCTATCAGTGCCAGTCAGTGCCACCTATCAGTGTCACCAGTCAGTGCCGCCTATCAGTGCTGCCTATTAGTGCTTGTTAGTGCCTCCTAACAGTTCCAGTCAGGGCCACCTAACAGTTCCAATCAGTGCCACCTATCAGTGCCAGTCAGTGCCGCCTATCAGTGCCATATATGAGTGCTGCCTTTCAGTACCCATCAGTGATGCCTGTCAATGCCCGTCAGTGCCAACTACCAGTGCCTCCTCATCAGTGCCCAACAGTGCAGCCTATCAGTGCCCATCACTGCAACCTCATTAGCACACATTAGTGAAGGAGAAAAATTACTTATTTACAAAATTATGTAACAGAAACTAATAAAAAACTTTTTTTTCCCAAAATTTTCAGTCTTTTTTAGTTTGTTTAGCAAAAAATAAAAGACCCAGAGGTGATTAAATACCACCAAAAGAAAGCTCTATCTGTCTCAAAAAAAATAATAAAAAGATCATATGAGTACAGAGTTGCATTACCGCGCAATTGTCATTCAAAGTGCGACAGAGCTGAAAGCTGAAAATTAGCCTGGGCAGGAAGGGAGTGAAAGTGCCCTGTAGGCAAGTGGTTAAAGTAAGCCTGACTCAGGGGTGGTCTGACTGTTCAGGCAGTCGGGCACTGCCCGAGGGCCCAGGGCTAATAGGGGGCCCCGCAAGCATACTTATCACTTTGGGGGCGACAGCAGTGTCATTGATTCTAAATACAAACACTGTGCTGGCGGTGTATGTATTTGCAAGATCGGAATCTTCTTTCTGTCTTTCTTTGGCAGTCTTCTGCACTCTCTGTGTAATTTTTGACTCAACCTCCCCCTTCATCCCCATCACCAATGCGGTGTGCCGAGAGAAGCATACTGAGCACACTGTAGCTACTGTAGGTTGCTGCTCACACTACAAGCAGGGAGGGAGATGAGCAGTATTTTTCTGAGGGAAGTCTCCTTAGGTGGTAAGCTGCCAAAGTTTTTGTTAGGTAAATATTTATATATTACAACAAAAGGTTGTTTTCTTTGAGTTGTACTGTTGTATTATTTATTGTTGTATATATTAGTAGATGAGCACAATAGTTTTTTGATTATAGACTTCACTATCTAACCACTTTCCAGCACCCGACTCCCCCCAGCTTGCATCACCCCCAGCTCACTTCATACATCCATCTGGTGGACATCACTCTGAGCTACTTCCTACCCCCCAGATAGAAGACATAATTCCATGGTCACTTTCCTTCTCCTATCTGTCCAACATCACTCCCTGATCACCCACAGACACTGCCACTAAAATAAATCCCTCCCCATACTGCCAACTGTCATACCCTCTTCGCTCCTCTCCCGTACATACTGCCCACTGTCCTACCCTCCACGCTCCTCTCCCGTACATACTACCCATTGTCATATCCTCCACACTCCTCTCCTGTACATGCTGCCCACTGTCATACCCTCCACACTCCTCTCCTGTACATACTACCCACTGTCATACCCTCCATGCTCCTCTCCTGTATATATTGCCCACTGTCATACCCTCCACACTTCTCTCCTGTACATAAAGCCCACTGTCATACCCACCACACTCCTCTCCTGTACATACTGCCCACTGTCATACTCTCCAAACTCCTCTCCTGTACATACCGCCCGCTGTCATACCTTCCAAACTTCTCTCCTGTACATACTGCCCACTGTCATACCCTCCACGCTCCTCTCCTGTACATACTGCCCACTGTCATACCCTCCACACTCCTCTCCTGTACATACTGCCCACTGTCATACTCTCCAAACACTTCTCCTGTACATACTGCCCACTGTCATACCCTCAATGCGCCTTTCCTGTACTTACTGCCCATTGTCATATCCTCCAAACTCCTCTCCTGTACATACTGCCCACTGTCATACCCTCAATGCTCCTCTCCTGTACTTACTGCCCATTGTCATATCCTCCAAGCTCCTCTCCTGTACATATTGCCCACTGTCACACCCTCCACGCTCCTCTCCTGTACATACTGCCCACTGTCATACTCTCCAAACTTCTCTCTTATATATACTGCCCACTGTCATACCCTCAATGCTCCTCTCCTGTACATACTGCACACTGTAATTCACTCCTCTCCTGTACATACTGCCCACTGTCATACCCTCCACACTCCTCTCCTGTACATATTGCCCACTGTCATACCCTCCACACTCCTCTTCTGTACATACTGCCCACTGTCATATCCTACATGCTCCTCTCCTATACATGCTGCTGACTGTCATACCCTCCATGTTCCTCTCCTGTACTTACTGCCCACTGTCATACCCACCACACTCCTTCCCTGTACATACTGGCCACTGTCATACCCTCCACACTCCTCTCCTGTACTTACTGTCCACTGTCATATCCTACATGCTCCTCTCCTGTACATACTGTCCACTGTCATACCCTCCATGCTCCTCTCTTGTACTTACTGCCCACTCTCATACCCACCACACTCCTCTCCTGTACATACTGCCCACCATCATACTCTCCAAACTCCTCTCCTATACATACTGCCCACTTTCATACCCTCAATGCTCCTCTACTGTACTTACTGCCCACTGTCATATAATCCAAACTCCTCTCCTGTACATACTGCCTCTTGTCATACCCTCCATGCTACTCTCTTGTACATAAAGCCCACTGTAATAGCTTCCACTCTCCTCTCCTGTACATACTGCCCACTGTCATACTCTCCAATTTTTCTCTCTCGTATATACTGCCCACTGTCATGCCCTCAATGCTCCTCTTCGGTACATACTGCACACTGGAATATCCTCCATGCTCTTGTCCTGTGCATACTGCCTACTGTCATACCCTCTAAACAGCTCTCATGCACATACTGTACATCCCACTGTCATACCCTCTACACTCCTCTCCTGTACATACTGCACACTGACATAACTTCCACACTCCTCTCCTGTACATACTGCACACTGACATATCTTCCACACTCCTCTCCTGTACATACTGCCCGCTGTCATACCTTCCACACTCCTCTCCTGTGCATACTGCCCACTGTCATACCCTCAACACTCCTCTCCTGTACATACTGCCCACTGTCATACCCACCACACTTCTCTCCTGTACATACTATCCACTGTCATACTCTCCAAACTCCTGTCCTGTACATACTGCCCACTATCATACCCTCCAAACTCCTCTCCTACACATACTGCCCACTTGCATACTCTTCACACTCTTCTCCTGTACATACTCTCCACTGTCATACCTTCCAAACTCCTCTCCTGTACATACTGCCCACTGTCATACTCTCCTCGCTCCTCTCCTGTGCATACTGCCCACTGCCATGCCCTACACGCTTTTCTTTACTGTGCAGAATTACTGTGCATATACAGTGCATCCAGAAAGTATTCACAGAGCTTAACGTTTGCCACATTTTGTTATGTTACAGCCTTATTCCAAAATGGATTAAATTCATTTTTTTTCCTCAACATTTTACAAACAATACCCTATAATGACAGCGTGAAAAAAGTTCGTTTTGAAATCTTTGCAATTTATTAAAAATAAAAAAATGAAAAAAAGCACATGTCCATAAGTATTTACAACCTTTGCTCAATACTTTACTGAAGTACCTTTAGCACCAATTACAGCCTCAAATCGCTTTGAGTATGATGCTACAAGCTTGGCACACCTATTTTTGGGCAATTTCTCCCATTCTTCTTTGCAGTACCTTTTTATTTTTTACTTTTAATAAATTGCAGCGATTTCAAAACGGATATCTTTCACGTTGTGTATGGTAGATTGGCCAGACGGAAGGAAGGCACTCCTCAGTAAAAGGCAAATGGCAGCCTGCCTGGAGTTTGCTAAAAGGCACCTGAGGGACTCTCAGACCATGAGAAGCAAAACTCTCTGGTTTGATGAAACAAAGATTGAACTCTTTGGCCTGAATGCCAAGCGTCATGTCTGGAGGAAACAAGGCACCGCTCACCACCTGGCCAATACCATCCCTACACTGAAGCATGGTGGTGGCAGCATCATGCTGTGGGGATGTTTTTCAGCAGCAGGAACTGGGACACTAGTCAGGATTGAAGGAAAGTTGATTGCAGCAATGTACAGAGACAACCTTGATGAAAACCTGTTCCAGAGCGCTCTGGACCTTAGACTAGGGCGACGGTTAATCTTTCAACAGGACAACGACCCTAAGCACACAGCCCACATAATAAAGGAGTGGCTATGGACCAACTCTGTGAATGTCCTGGAGTGGCCCAGCCAGAGCCCAGACTTGAAGCCGATTGAACTGCTCTGGAGAGATCTGAAAATGACTGTGCACCGACGCTCCCCATCCAACCTGATGGAGCTTGAGAGGTATTGCAAAGACGAATGGGAGAAATTGCCCAAAAATAGGTGTGCCAAGCTTGTAGCATCATACTCAAAGCGACTTGAGGCTGTAATTGGTGCTAAAGGTGCTTCAGTAAAGTATTGAGCAAAGGTTGTGAATACTTATGGACATGCTTTTTTTTTTTCATTTTTTTATTTTTAATAAATTGCAAAGATTTCAAAAAGAACCTTTTCACGCTGTCATTATAGGGTATTGTTTGTAGAATGTTGAGGAAAAAAGTGAATTTAATCCATTTTGGAATACGGCTGTAACATAACAAAATGTGGCAAAAGTTAAGCACTGTGAGTACTTTCTGGATGCACTGTACTTAATGTCCCCCTTAAAAATCTTGGGTTCAGATTATGTGTTTGCTGTTACCTCCAGTGTTTTTAGTTGTTGTGTTCACTTTTGTTTTCCTTTAACCACACTAACTACAGCTCTCTCATATCTGGTTCAATATGCCATTAGATTAACCTTATGCCTTTTGTAGAACCACGCCCATACTAAATGATTGCCCTTAATTAAAGCATATTATCTGCCTATAATGGCTTGCAGAGTGCACAGCAGATAAAATGTGTTCCTGGCAACTATGCATGAGCAGGCTGTCTTTACTCACAGTGCCCAGGGGCCCCAGGTGCATGGGGGGCCCCTGCAGCCCCCCTCCCCCCAGCAGGGGGGGATTGTGTGTGGATCAATGCAGCGGGTGGGAGAAATAACTGCAGCAGCTGAAAGCCAACATCTCCTGCTCCAGCTGCAGTGAGAGCTAAAAAGATTGTTTCCAGTTATTTCCCCCACTGCTCTGGGATTTCTCACCTGGACACCCCCGCAGCTCTGCAGGCGTCCCTCCTTTCCTCCTTCTCTGGCAGCAACTGCAGGCACACAGTGTAATTTACCGGCCCCTTCCTTCTCTAAGTGAACACAATGAGTGATCACTCACTGTAATCACTCATAACTGAGGCATAATAAACTGTGTTTCCTATGCTTCAGTTTATGAATGGTCAGGAGCCCCTTTCTCTGGTTCATTCATCTGCAGTGCAGTTGAGCCTACAGAAAAAGGGACTGAGGAATGTGTCCTCAGGCCCTTTCTCTGTCTCAAAAGTGAGACTTCAGGGGTCTGTTTAGACCCCTGACATCTCTGCACCCCCCCCCCCTTCAACAGTGTTGTGAAAAATATTTAAAAAAATATTACATATTACATTAAGATTAGTTAAAAATTAAAAAAGACTAAAAAGCTATGTCCAATATGTGGCATGATTTAGCTATACCCACTGTGTGCATAATGCGCCGCAGATCACCATCTCCTCCCTTCCGTGTGTTGATAGGACTCAATGAAGAAGAACAAGATCTAGGGAACCAGAGGTTTCCTCAAAGGGGCTGGCTGGAAGGAACTGCCTGTTTACAGGAAATCTTCCACCTCTTGGTATGGTGCCTGGGTCTGAAAATAAGTACTCCTCTCAGGGAGTTTAGGGAAGGATGCCCATAATGTAGTAGATTATCAAAAGAGCTTTATTGTAAACATTCAAGGTATCCAAATCGCGATAAGTAGTAAAATAACATCCAGGTATAGTGTGAACTAACCCTGTGAATATAAAAGGTGGCTGTCGGGCCTCCACATGGCTCCGGCGGCATAGCGTCACAACGTCCGGGCTCCTCCTTGCGCGTTACGTGCGCACGCACATCATCGGAGGAATAGAACCAGTGACGCCATGACGCGATGCCGAACTTATATGCGTTTAGTGGCGCATGCCTGTGTGATCAAGCAACATTTTACTGGAGCTCAAGGTGACTGGCTGTCAGCATATCAAACAGAGAGATCGCATTAGCAGTATTTACACAGCGATACTGCTAATATTCACGCACCCATGCGCAAATACAATCATATGAGCCTATGCAAATAATAACATCACAAATAATAGTTCAATAATTGTTAAAAACAACAAGTAAAACTATAAAACCTGATAAAGGTATTAAATAAAATTCAAAGCAATATCCAAATATGTAAATTGAATCTATAAAAGAGATCAATCAAAAAATGTATTAATTCATTGATTAATTAATAAATTAGAAATTGTCACACAAGTAAAATGATTATTGTTAGCACTAAAAATCTTATTGATATAACCAGTAATATTAAAAACTTTAAATAGCAATGAGAAATTAGCTGTTGGCGATAAAACAATTTAAGTCCAACTCGACGTTGAGACCTGCAGGGTAAAGAGTATCAAGCTCAAAAATGTGTTTGGTCTCCAGCTGTGAGACTGCTCTAGTTTTATGTGTTCCCCTCCAATGGGGGTTAACCATGTTAATACCAACAAACTTGAGTGTTGAGGGGTCCCTATTGTGATGTCGCCTGTAATGCAATGACAAGGAATGATCCTTGAAACCCTTCTTGATATTGGCAACATGCTCCCTGAGGCAGTCCCTCAGCCTCCTTGTTGTT